AAAGCACTTTTTGGAAGTAAAGGTCTTAATTGTGTATTTTGGTCGCTTTGTTGCACATTTTTGCTTTGGTTTCAATTGAGAAAGTGCTAAATCTGTACATTAGTCGCGTATCTGCTGTGATTTTTCTCAGCAGTGGTCTTGTTTCATTGAAGGTGTTAGATCTCCATATTTTTTTCCGGAGCAGAAAGTGGATTGTGTTTTGTTAAGGCGATTACTGTAGCAGTGCCAGCTCTGAACTCCTATTCATTGCGGAAGTCGACTCGTCTGCTAGAAGCCATTGCTCGTGCTTTAAATAATGTATTGGAGCGTTTTCATCAGAGCTATTTCCTGTGAGGGTTTTTGATTATTTTGCTTTTCTATATGTTTTGATGTGTCGGTCAATCCTTAGAGGCAGCGGGCACGATCGCTGGGGGCAGGCGAATGTTGCCAGCTTCGATGATGACAGGGCTGATCGGGGGCGTTAGGCTAAATTGCCCAACGTATTGTGAAGGTGTGGCCAACGCCCCCACCAAGCTCACTGCGTTTGAGCGATAATGTCTGTCTGTGGGCAATTCTCAGTTGGAACCATAGCCACCATTCTTGACCTCTTTCTTAACACTAAACACTTTCTAAACATCTTGAATCGTGGCCTGGATCAGGTCCGCATCGCTGGTATAAGTGTTTTGAACTTACCACTCCTTTGCATCTTTCTTATTTTCAAATAATCAGAACATATTGAGATAGGTCCACAAAGCGTAGCTTGTAGTATCGAGTGCTTTGAGAAAGGGTAACAGAGATGCCCGTACTCGCTGAACCCTAGTAAATTCAGCGAGCAGCTTTACGTGGACTTATCAAAGTTTCGTTATTCTGCGTTACGGCACATACAGTCCTCATCATTACGTACTGTCGGGGCGGTTCAGTGCGGCTGCGTTTGGCGCGGTGCCAAACCCGCTCTCCACCAGTATTTAAAGCGAGCAAATGATATGACTGTATTATATCCTCCGTATTACTCGTTTTCTACCACTTTTTGTCGCATACGCGTTTCAACAAAAAGGCTGAGAACGGCTTCAACAGTGTGCACACTCATACTGACACGCCCCACCGGTCCGCAATGATGAGGACTGTAGATGGACAACGGTTGTTTAGAGCCCTAGTTCGCGCTTCGCAAGTTAGCCCAAGAACTCCCCTAAAGAGCCTGATGTAGGCGTCGAACCCGCGCCTCAGGGAAGTGCGTTTGCAGTTTCCACCCCATAAGCCACCGTACTTATAATCTTTCTATAGGAACCCGCATGAGTGAAAGAATTCGTACCCATGGCTCATGTCTGTGGTTGCAGCGCCGTTTGCCAACACCCCATTGCGATCTCACTCCATGATTCGCTGAGCAAAGCTCATGGTATTGCCGCTATTGTTTTCAAACTATTGAGTATGAAATTCTGTTTCAGGTATATTTTGGCCTCACCGGATAATTTTGTCTCGATAGCCTATTTCATGCCTATCATAGGAGGAGTTCTACTACCACTTTTAATTTTTGTGAGTATTTTTGTAGCTTCTTTATTGTTGTGTTTGGGACAATCCGGCTATGTTGTGCGCAAGTTTGTTGAGACAGCCGTTTCGCAACCATTCACATTCGGTTCGTTCAGCTCGTTCCAAGTGACTGTACATCGCTGCCACCCTTCATTGATAGTCCGCTATCGCACGCGTTCAGACTTCGCGAGACCGCCGGGGGGGTGCGGGGTTAACGACACGTCGAACGCGTCACCATGTGTCGGCAATGTTCAACTGCCTCTAGAGGGGCAGTCGCAGCCATAGACGATAACGATTGAGTCCGGCCGTATGTCCTTCGATGAGAGCTACGGGAGAGTAGGAGTACCATCGCGCGCAATAAGACAATTCGCGTAACCTCTTTTTTCCCATGTACTCTATCAAGCAGTAGCAGCCGGCTACCGGATCGATACTTCGTCCTGTGGTTTCACTCCTAGCATTTGACATTTCAACGGTAGCGCGTCGACGCGCCATCTCGCCCAAAGTCTGAGCGCTGCCAGTGACACAGTGATGTCTTATGTTCTAGGCATACCGTGATTGGACAAAATCACTGCAAATTGTCGTGCCTCGTTCGCTTTTCGTGATGCATGGCATTGGCCTCCTCACGTGGTGCCTCTGCTCCACATACTTTACCGATTTCACAAGTAATCCTCGTGCAGATGTCTTGTATTTGGGAATTAGTATGCTAGATCCCCTTCGGGCTCATCTACACTCCGAGTAATTCCGTTCTGCATCTAATTTTCTCGACTTGTTCTGGTTCGCATGCGAAAACATTTGCACTTCCACGGATTTTTTTGCGGCTCACTTAACTAACACGCCTCAATTCTGTTAGGTCACTGTTTGTGAGTTGCCCTCGTCTAACAAATTGAACCACTTGGATAAAATTAAAAGTTTTCAGGAATCTGAATTGTACAGGCTTGCCTGAGCTACCACTTTTCGTGCCCCGCCCGCAAGCCGATACACGCGTTTTTTTGATGGTCGATAAATGATTGTCTTTCCAGACGTTGTAACTGGAGATTCCGGACCTTTGCGATTTCTTCGCCTTTTACTGGAGTGCAGTTTAGCAGCTGCGGCTGTCTCGCTCGTCAATTTCTCCCTTGCGCTGTGTTTTGCCTTGGTGGCAGTACCAGTGATGTGTGCAAGTAATGTTCCATGGATAATGACTCCAAGTGAGTTTAGCGATGTTACTGTAGTTATAGATAGGTCATATAAGCCGCCTCTGTCCTGCACTGCGCCGAGGATCACAGCAGCTGGTGCATAATGAGGAACTCCGTTCCCCTTACAATAAAATGGTTGCAGATTTCTTTAGAAGAACAAAAACTACGATATGGATTTCAATTGCCCCCTCCCCCTCTCCCCTACACCTACACAAATTAGTATTGTCATTTAACGCTTTCAGATACCGCTTGGAATTGGTGGACTTAAATACAACTTGGGCGGTTCAGGATATTCAGATTGCACGTCTTGCAAAAGTATTGTCTTAGTGCGTGTCAAAGATGACTACAGGCTGGTCCAAGCTCGTTTCCACCAATATTTGTCGTGTTGCCTTCAACAATAGTGGTTAAGGGACTGGCGCGCGCTAAACCAACGTCCTCTCTGGCACGATCCGACCATCCGCAGCGAAGGAGCACTGTACTCATTGTGGGTGGTATTTCCTACTAGTTACTGATTCCTACTGCTGTCAGGTTTTCACGTCCAAAACCAATATAACCTCCTAAGTGCCGAGTGCCAGGGCACAAGGCGAGGCACCTTGATAGTGTTTTCGAACGCGGGGACCTGAACCTTCTCGCTGACGGTCTTGTCGAAACTTCACCTTAATCATAACTTTATTCTGAGAACTAAATGATTCAGCGCTCCCTGAAGTCTTTGTTGGAAACAGCACATCGTATAGCTTGTCCACCCGGCTGGAATTCTACGCTGCGTTTTTGTACTATGGTCGGCCTGTTCTGGGCTACAGTGGCAAACCCATTGTATTGAGTCCAGATGTGGTAAGTATTTGTGCATTTTCATGATGTTAAATATTGGTCTATTATGAAATTTGGGTCATGTGCAATCGCTCCGAACTATTTGTTATTAGTGTATTTCTCGGGAGGTTACGGTCTCAAACTTTCCCTGGTTTTTCGTGCCGGGTGACGGACCATAACCTGCCAGTTCGGTGCCTAGCCTCCCTATTTAGACCATTTTCCAGAAGTGGGCGGGGCTTCTGCAAAGCGGGCGGAGCTTCTAAATGTGGACGAAGCCATTTTTTCCTGTCTGAAAAGGCGAAAGTTTCGAAGAAAATCAAAATTCCGCCAAAAGACACAAAAGTGGGCGTGGTCAGGGGCGGGGACAGTGTGTAGACGCATATCTATGAGTGCAATCGTTTTGTGAAGAAAGAATGCGAAAAGAATGCCATCGAAAAAAATTATCAAAATTCAAAACCTGCGATAACTTCATTAAAAAGTGGGCGGAGTTCTATATGTGTCGTTACCGAATCATTTTCAGTTGAAGTGTGTGTGCGATATAGCAAAAGAGAAAAAAAATCAAAGGAGCAGGTTTTAAAAGGTTTTGAAAAACTATGACCTCCCCGAGAAGTGGGCGGGATGTTGGAGTGGTACTGGCAGCAGTACCTAGTGTGGTCTAGTTAATCAACTGCCCTGTGTAAGGGGTAAGTCCGATTTGATTGGAAAAAAGCGACGTAGTCGTGCGCTTGCGCGACCGACGGAGTCGTACGCTCGAGCGATCGACGCAGTCGTACGCTAGCGCGATCGATCGCTCGAACGCGCGACCGAAGCGCCGCCGTCGCGAAGTCTGGACGCTGCCCAAGGAGCGTATTTCGAGGTACAGCAATCCCATTCCAGCACAAGGAGCCCTTTAGCCCCCCTCCCGCCACGAGACGATCATAGCTGATAATATAGCATTATTAGTATCAGTTACAGTTTATACTGCGCTGTTTATTTTCAGCTCATCAACGCTCTACTTCGACTGGTTAAAGAACATCTGGTATACGGTTCGAATGTGCTGCCTCTGCTCCTCGTGTTGGTGCTACCAATGTGGAATCTACTACTTCCGTTGGCTTTAGTGAAGATAAAGGCGGCAATGTGCGAAACAGTGGAGAAGAAAGAAGCTGATGAGCAAGAGAAGAAGGACGATTGAGTATCGCGGTCTGCTGAATCTGTATTGTCCATGAGTAGGAACAGGGAGGGTCAATCTCATTTTGAAGTGTTGAGGTTTAGCAGTTTGCTGATTATTTTGAATGCAAGACTCGTCAGTCAAGTAAGTGTTCATTGTGCGATCCCGCGATTCTACGGTTAGCCATGGAGCGCGTTTGCCATCATTCTTGTTTGCTTTTGGTGTGCAGCGGACAGGATAAGTTCAATTTCTTCAATCGCGTAACATGTCTCTGATTATCTTCTGCGCCTCGCCACGTTTACATGACATTCTTTTAGCCACCCGGCGACCAACCTTACACTCCAGCTTTTCGTACCGGGATGACTGGACTCATCTACAACGGCTGAGCTCCCCTTCCCATGCGGCTGAGTTGCTCCCTCCGCAGGTAATCGTCTGGCCTCGGCGTCTAGGCCTTAAAACTTGCTCGCAATTTGCAGGGGTCAAATGCATAGCCGGTGAAGAAAAACCTGCAAGTTTCGAGTCGCCTTTGCGTTGAGAGTGATCGGGACAGAATCGCCGAAAATATGAACGCAGTCTGTTTGAATTGTGTAGCGCTACATGGTCATCACAGCAGATATAAGGTTGACAACTCTTATCCTGCAGTCTTTCCGGGTTTATTGCTAACTTCTGTGGGGTTAGGAGATAGGTGAGTATTAATCGATTTTCGTTCACATTCTCTTCTTAATTTATTTCGGCTCGCCGCCCCCCCTTGTAATAAATCTTGAGTGATGGATAAAACCTGCTTCAACAACATTACAGGTAGAGTATGAGGTGCCGTTGGCGGGTGGAGGGAAGCAGATTGGGCAGACCACGACCATCGTTCTTTTGACTTGCCACTTTCATTACGCCAAAGAAACAGTGCCTCTTTGAGAAGCCGCAGGTTACCAGAGAAAGAGCTTGGCCTAGTTCCACTGATGAGTGCCCCTCCCCTCCCTGCAGCTACCCTAGCATCCCACAATTGTCTTACGACCCTTTTTCAGCTATGGTGAGAAATTATCTTGTATATTTCAACTTTCGGTACCTCCAGGAACTGTCTCTGCCCATTTCTGAGCGTGCGCTTCTGAGCATGTCGTCTTTCTTATCAAACTACGGGACCGGAGTGGCAACGACGCCTCTGCTTGAGGGGGGATTGAACTGGACAGTCGGACCTACTTCTCACAAATTGGTGTCACCTCATGTCTGTACCCTGGCTGTCCTTGTCTCCAAAACATATGATCAGGCGATCCTACATAACTTCGATGCGCCTGCCGGAAGAACTGCACTTTGAATGTTGTGATTTTGTTGTTAGTAATTATTGGTAGAATGCTCGTCTTTAGAATCTGCTTTTGCTATTCTGCGGGTGATTATCATTTTGATTTTCTTTGTAATAAATATTGTACAGACCTTTAGTTTATGAAATGTATGGAGTCGCAAAGTCGACTTGAATTCGTTCAGAGAATAGGTTTTGTCGTATTTGTAGTGTATTAAGCGCAAGTCGGCGACCAGGGCGGGGCATTTTGCAGTTGCTCGTTCCCAGCGAAGTGCCCCCCCCCCGCCTTCCCTCTCCCCCGTCGCCGAACTGCGCTTTGTTGCGGGCATCGAATGAAGTCTGCTTCCGTCGTTCCGAAAAGCGACTCAAAATTGATTCGCTTTCTAGGCTCGATTTTCCTCCTTTATTTAAAGGCAGTTGGCACCATTTGGTACTCGGCCTAAATGCTAGTAGGGCGCTATATATAGTGGGAAAATGGCGAAAAAACGAAGTGAAACGGTCAAAAACCTGCGAAGAAAAGCCTTCGTTCTTCATGACTCAGAAAGTAATTTCGGACGAGTTTCCCGTAGGCATCTTGCCAATAACCGCTACGGTAGGTACGGCTGCACGTATGTACTCATATATCCATGCAGCACCGCAGCCGCTTCATACCAATCCCTTCATATTTTACTTAGCAAATGAAGCAATACGAGCATCAGGTACGGTCGTCCATTTGTGGGCGGGCGGGCGCGGTGGGCGTCCGGTCGGCACGTTGCTGCTTGATAGGGGTTATAAGGGTACTTCCTTGAAAAAGGCGCTACGCTGCGTCTGTCTAGAGGCGTGGAATTCCGTCCTACAGGCGTATTTATCCTACTCGTCTCAGGCATTTATCGTGTCAACTGCCTTTAAGAAGCTGGGTGCCGATTGGATGATTCACATCCCGGCGACGGTCCTATCTGGGGGACATCCCCAACTAAGCTAGTTGATTTTCATCCAGGCGGAAGGCTACGAGTCAGCCAGTTAGGAAATGTTAGTTTGGTTACATTCCTGCAGTTCACTTTATTTCGTTCGTGCCCGTCGCCGTACCATGGACCTCCTAGTCGACACCCTATGAGTTCGTTCTTTGCGCAAAGGAAACTCCTTCAACAAGGTTAGTAAGTGATTTTTAAGAGATTATTCCTAATTGTTTGTATTTTTTTTCTCTAGGTCTCCCTTGCACCGTATTTTCTGGGCGGTGAGAGGGGTTTAGGTGGGTGGGGTGTAGGCAAATGGTCGGGGAGAGAGGGCAAGGACTTTTGCGTTTCGTCTGCACTCTCTCGAAAGAACATAGTTGTCCGGCGGCC